GTTTGACCTGAAGAAATACTCTGCTTCAGAGGAGGCTCTTCTGAGGCTGCTGCCAGTGGTCAAAGCCTCCAACAAAGCTCTGTAGGTGGAGTAGATCAAATAAAGACCCAATCTATATTTGGTGCACAGTGCTCCAGGTTGTCAGATGGTTGTACCTGAACTTTCAAACAGGTCCACATCACATCGCATTTATTAATTTTTTGCAACAAAATTGCAGGAGAAAGTGAAAATCTTTTTGTATAATTGATAACAATTGCGTGTCATCCCCACTCTCTCTACCCCCCTTTCCTCCTCAATAAAAGGCCAAAAAAATAACTTTAAAAAATCTAAGAATAAAATGTCTAGTTTGTTGAATGGATCAACGTTTTGCGCGGGGGACAGCTATGATCAGTAAAATGACAATGATTGGTCAAATTTGCAGAAAAGTTGCGGTGATTGTACAAAATTTCAAGGTTGCACAAAGTCTATTGGGAATGGTTGAATATGAATTAATTGTTGTGATTGCAACTTCAATAACAAGAATGCAGATGATAAAGATCAGTGGACCACTGCTTACCAAGTGCAGATTATGGCTTTAAATTTGTCTTTTACCTATACAGTGTATTGCATAAAATATTTAAATATTATTGAAATAATTTATTATTATTATTTTCACAAATACTGTTTCAGGTTGAGCGGCTGTAAATTGTCAAAGAAAGGATGTGAAGCTCTGTTCTCAGTTCTTAACTCTAAGTCCTCTTGTCTGAGAGAGCTGGACCTGAGTAACAACAACCTGCAGGATGAAGGAGTGAAGCTGCTGTGTGTTGGACTGGAGAGTCCACACTGTAGACTGGAGATACTCAGGTTGGTGTTCCTAACAACTATCACGGTCTCGGCCATGACTTCAGGGTTTGTTTCACCTTCCTGATTCTGTAATTTCAAACATCTGTCTATGACCTATAATTTTCTACAAGGCAATAATATTTCCCCATATTTTCAAGGCTGAGAGTGTGTAACCTGTCATGGAGAAGCTGTGAAGCTCTGTGCTCAGTCCTCAGCTCTAAGTCCTCTTGTCTGAGAGAGCTGGACCTGAGTAACAACGACCTGAGCGACGAAGGAGTGAGGTGGCTGACTTCTGCACTGAAGAGTTCAAACTGTGCACTGAAAACACTCCGGTTTGTATTCCTGCTAATGTTCAGCTGTTAACATTTCTAACTTAGCTTGTTTATATGCACATATATTGCACAGCCACATCTAGCATAATGCCACTCATAGACTGTGTAATAAAACTGTCCGTAGTGTCAGTGACATCACCCATACGTTTCTCGTCGTGAAGCTCAGTGTGGCACTGTTTTTCCCTGTTGAAGGTTTGTACCCTGTAATCCAGTTCTAGAGCTGTACAAATGCTTCTGAAAATGAAGACCTAGACTATATTTACATGAAAAAACACAGGAAGAATGTAGATGGTGAAGCTCAGTGGGAGAAGGGGAAAGACCACTGAACTCCTGATTGTGTGTGTTTGTAGATTATCTGGCTGTTTGATTACGCAGAAAGGCTGTGCTGCACTGGCCTCAGCTCTGAACTCCAAACCCCCCCATCTGAAAGAGCTGGAGCTTAGCTACAACCATCCTGGAGACTCAGGAGTGAAACTGTCTGGACTGAAGGATTCTGGGAGACTGGAAACTCTGAGGTAAAGACAGTCCTGCTGGCGTAGAACTCAGGGCAAACTTTATATGTTTAAAATCCACTGATATGGCTCCACATTGTTTGTCAGTATTGAAAGGTTTAGTGTGTAGGATTTAGCAGCATCTAGTGGTGAAGCTGCAGATTTTAACCAACTGAATACAGCTCAGCCTTCCAAGAGTGTACGAGTACAAGAGCCTTGAGGAACCTTTTTGGGGTCCTCACCATTGTCACTATGGAGGAACAATAACCCTAATCTTTTGGTCCATAAAGGTTCCTCCAGTAACCTCTCCTCTAAACTAAATTATTAAAGGTTCCTCCAGGAAGTCCCAAGCAAGTAAGGTCG